TTATCTGATGGAGAATAGTTTGAATATTTATGTCCTGCATAACATCAGCCTAATGGTCATCACTGATAGAAGTTAGACATTTTATTTGCTGTTTATTTATATTATTTACATCCTGACTTGATTATTTTTATAAACAACACAAGATGGTGAACATATCTAATACTCCTTTCTCCTCCTATTTTGCCCACAATAACAACCTTGTTGTTGCTGAGGTGAGTTGTGCTGAGAGAGGGGGGAGAGGAGGGAGGGAGGAGGGGGGGACTGTCTCAAGGTCACCCAACCAGCTTTCATGCCTAAGGCAGGATTAGAACTCAACAGTGCCCTGGTTTCTACTCTGATAGCCTAACCACATTCTCTCTAATTGTAGTTAGTACCTACATTTTGGATGTTACAATCTTTATTATTTTTAAAATAGAAAACAGGTTAATTTGATATTAGTAATGAGGCAATTAATTGGATGACATTCACCATGAATGTCACTTTTCTTGCAGAACACAGTTTCATTTTTATTGTTAATTTTTTGGAAAAGTCATTTTGACTTATATTGTTGCCTATAGCTTACTTATTCATTCTTGAAGCTAATTTTAGAATGACTTCTGATATTGCTTAGAATTTTGGTTATCTGGTCTTAATACTACTGAAAGGGATCTTATAAAAAACTCTTAAATGTTTTTATATATTATGTTGTGTCAGTTTTAAACATAGACGACCTATGTTTTTCAAAAGATTTTTTGGGGCCATTTTGAAATACATGGAACAAAATCAATCTGTTGTATCACTTCAATAATGTTACAAATCCACAGGATTACATTACTGACATAATGTGTAAACCATCTAATATTTTCCCCAATACTTTTTGATTATCTGCACCCTGCAAGTTTTTAATTTACAGAAACCCTGGGAAATAAATAAATAAATTTGAAAATTAAAAAAATGAGCTATCTCTAGATTTGGACAAGACGTAAAATTCAGAACTTATATACTAGATTCAGAAGAAGAAAGTTCTCATGTTGGATTCACTTTCATCCCTTCTATTTCGTCATAAAAAGGTTAGGAAGTACAATAATTACTTGAGATGCCATTTTAAGCCTAGACCAAAATCTAAGCATGGAAGATAGGCTGAAATTGCAGGGAAGCGGAATCATGACACATTCTTTGTAACTAACTTCCAATTATTACACCATCACCTCACCCCCACAACTTAGTGAGAGCACAGTTGCATGAATTGGCCCTCCAGCATCTGATTAGAGTTGGGAAGGAATAATTTGAGAATCTGATTTTAGAACTATAAGAATGTTGAAAACAATGGAGAGAAACTGTGTAGGTGTCTTAGTGAGAATACAATTTCTTCATTTGTTGTGCAATGTGGCTGTGCAGGGATATTTGTAATGTGGTGAAATATTCCATGAGTTGAGCAATAGCCAAACATGGCCAGGCCTTTATGATAGGGTGCTGGGCAAGGCCAGAAAAGCGTGGTATAATTTCAAGATGTTGTTGATTGAAAATGCTGTGGTACAGCACTAGGTATACTGATTCATCCATTTGGCAGCACCATTGCTATTATCAGAGAATCCTGTAATCAGGTTCAAAGAACGACACATTACTGTGGTCAGATTCTTTGGGTATTTTGTTTTCAGAAGATTATATGGACTGTGTTTCTTTTCTTTCTTTTTTGGTTAAAAGTAGAAGGTTGGAATCCAAAGAACTGTCTGAAGGACCAAAGCTACCATCTGTCCAACAGAAGCTTAATTCAGATTAGTTTACTTTTCTAAACTCTCTCACAATAAATAAAAAGAACCGTAGGAGCAAATCCATAGTTAGATTAGAGGAGAGAAGAAATAGAAGCATTTGATCCACTCTTTTTCCAAAAGAAAATTTAGACAAAGTAAAATTGATAACAAAGGATAGCAGTTAAGAAAATGAAATCCTAAATTAAAAAAAAAATTCACTGGGAAGAGTTAAGAAAACTATTTGTCCTATCCCCTTTGCCAAGCCCCTTGTTAAAAATATATAACAATGATAATAGGAATAATTAATGGAATTATTGTTAACAATTAAGTAAATGATGCATTTGATGATAATGTCTAAAAGAGTATTAAGAGTATTAAGAGACTGGGCAAAGTTAATAAAGGCCAACATTGTTATTTAGAATAATAGGAAGCAATCACGTTATTACTGTCAGTGATATAAACAGAAGTCATGTAACACTTCCCATAGCATTATGAAATCATTGTATTTTTCTAACTCTACTGAACAGATCAAATAGTTTTGAATACTAGACACACATACACATCCCTTAATGACTATAGAGACACACATACCCTAATGGCCTGAAACTAATCATATTACTAATATAATTCCTTCATAATGAATCTAGAGTTTTTTTCCTACCAGCTTTAGACCTGCTCTGCCTGCTTTCACCTTCAGAATGGAAGGAAAGATTTTTTGTAAATATCCTACCCTCTACAACCATACCACCATTTCCTTTATTTTCTGGAAGCTCTCCAAATCTCTGGAGCAGGCTTTCAGAGGATTGCAAAGGGAAGGAGTAGCTGAATAAGTATGATTACTTGCCCACTTCAAGCAGTGAAAATGTTTTTATTGGATCAAAAGTCTTTCATAGACAAAAAAAAAGTTTCTTGCAATAAGAGTTTGCTAGATCCAGCCCATTCCTCTGCCTAGGAATACAATGGAAGTTCTATGCTTTTCTCCATCTAAATTATATCCACCTCATTTCAAGAGCTTCAAGATAACCAATACACTGAGAAATGTGTTTTAATCATTGTAATTAAACATAAAGTTCTTTGGGAACATCAGATAACGCCAGATATACATATACCAGTCTTAGATGTTGCCTTATTACTTAATATAGTACAAATTAGTCCGCTCAGCACGAGATGTTAGGCAACATTTTCTAATTTATCCAGATGACAGCTAGGCTTTCTAAAGAGAAGGAAGTAATAAAGTGGTTTTTTTTTTTAGCAGAAGTCCAAATTGTACCATTCTTGAAAGTTTAGAATTGTTATAGTTCAGTGAGATTCTGGCTATGTAGTATGGAGTACAAAGTAACAATCACAAGGTAAAGCAGTTATTTAAAAAGTTGATAATTCCATACAATTAACAATTTGTTTTCAGAAATAACTAATATAGCTGTGCCTTGTAAGAAACAACTTGTTACATAGCTGTGCCTTGTAACAAGAAAGAAAGTGGCTCTGTGTAAACACATTCAATGTTTAAAGTTTTGGATTAGTGTTGATGTTGGATGATTATATCTGAAGTATGACTAAAAGCAAAAGATAGTAGAGAATAATTAGGCAGATGGTACACAAAACAAAGTTTCTGAAGTGAGAATGGCATTGCCCAATAAGTGCCAGCATTTACCTATGAATTCTCAAAATTTATAACCCACACAGTATGAATTTTATTATTCCCTATAGTGAAATCCATACAGTATGTTGCAGAATCATCCTAGCATTTAAAATTAGGTATTGGCCACTCGAATATAAAATGCAATCCTGGCTCCTGAAGAATATGTATGCATACCATCTGCAGCCATAAGCATGAAAATGTCAAACATCCAGTTATCCATGTACTGTTTCATTTATCATGCATGCAGAACAAAGCTATTTGCTGATGCATAAGACAAGAAGCAATCTAAGGCTGCACTTTAGGTAATTTATCTGGGGTTAAAGCCCACTGAACAAAAAGTTATTCTTCAGAATAAACAAGCCATGTGATCACCTTGTTCTACTGTCTTCTTGCACCTGCCATGCCAATCCTAAATTATACCTTCTATATCATTAGACACATTTGATATAAATCTATTAGCTAATTTTTATACTTTTCATTCCCTTTTTGAAATAAACTGTTAGTTTGGGATTAGACTTAACGAACCACACCATGAAATTTGTAATGTATTATCAGGAATGATCTGATTTCCATAAAAAAAGGCAAATAGATAGAAAGACAAAAAAGAAGGGGGAGGGAGAAAGAAGGAAGAAAATCCCTAAAGATTTATTAACGGCACATTCCTTTTACAGTGCAAAGGATGCCACTGGATCATACTTTTAGTCTCATTTCCCCCCATTTGCATTGGCCACCAGTTTTCAGATGTATTGACTATCCACTTTCAGTCACTCCCAATCAGCGTAGCCAGTCAACTTGGCACCTCCATAGACGTGAGATTTGTGACTGGTGGAGTTATGGTAAGCATATTTCAGATGTTACACTTAGAGTAAGCACTTTCCAAACATGTTTTTTTTTTTTAAATGTAGAGCAGCTTGTGGGCAGCAGCTCGTTTTCCTTGATATGTTCACAGTTAAAAGGGTCAATGTTTTAGAACGGCTCTGCAGCAACCATCCCCAGTCTTGGGCTAACCTGGCTTTGATTTAGCACCAGCTTTCAGAGGAAGAATTTAGAACTCATTCTAAATGCTTGGTAAGCTTCCACTATCTACTCTCATTAGAAGATTGTCTAATATATATATATATATATAAAGGAGACGGAACATCATCCCTGGCCACAAACTGAAATGGTAGGGCTGTTTCTTCTCTACTTATGACTTAGGGTTCCCCCCCACCCCCAAATGTGGGGATGAGGAAAAAGCCTCCCCCACCCCTTCCAATGTCTTGTAAAAGGATTCCGTTTGAGTTAGACAAGATAAGAGAGAGAGAGAGAGGGAGGGAGGGAGAGAGAGACGGAGCCATTTTGACCGTTGTGTGACAGTGACAAGCCAAGGAGGAATTTTGGGGAATGGGGCAGGGAGGAGTCCCCTCTTGAGAGCCTGGATGGGAAGATGATGAGGAAGGCAGAGAAGGCGGCGGCAGCAGCCGGGCCGGCGGATGCGGATTGCAGGAGGTGGAGAAGAGACAGGCAGGTGCTGCATAGCCAGGAGCGCTAACGGGAAAGCAGGCCAAGTGCCGGCGCATCGGGAGGCGGCTGAGAGGAGAGGCTTAACCATAAATAAGAAAGGAGGGGGGGGGATTGGCGCTTGCTTTTACCTCGGATGCTCCAGGTCCAGCGGTAGAACTCCAAGGTGTCGTTCACTACGTTGGCTATGAGGCCCGGCTCTCCGGAGTGACCCATGGCTGGCCAGCTGGCAGGCAGGCAGGCAGGCAGGCAGGCAGGCGAGCGGGCGACTTTGCAGCAGTCGTAGCAGCGGCCGGCAGCAGCAGCAGCAGCAGCAAAAAAAGGAAGAAGAAGAAACCGGCAGGCTTAGCTTAGGTCAGCTCAGCACAAGCGAGGCTTTGGCTTCTCGGCCGGAGCTGCTGCTGCTGCTGCTGCTGCTGCTCCCCTCCTTCCAGGTGGAAATGAAATTTAAATCTCTGTCTCTGGGTGTCTATCTTCAAGCTCCGCCTCTCCGGGGACGACACCCGTGCCCGGGGCAGAGAGATGGCAAAGGCAGAAGAACCGGCGCCGAAGCCAGGCTGCAGCACCTTTGGGCATGGACCGTAAGCGCTTACGCACGTGACGCCTCTCTTTTTCCCGCCCCCTCTTTCCGGGTGGCATCTCCCGGCGCAGGCGCCCGCCCTGCGCATCTTGGAGAGTCGATTCACGCAAGGGATGCCCGGGTCAATCCCGGCCGTCTTCACTTAGGGTTGGAGGTGGAGCCCCGGGTCCTCAAGGTGCTTTGCGGTATCTTGCGAAGGCTCGCGGGATTGCCGAGGCCCAGGAGGCCTTGCCAATCGGGAAACTGAGGCCAGCTGCCCCCCCCCGCCACGTGTGGTGGGGGAGAGGGAGGAGGGGAACCTTTGGGGGGATGCCGGATCCCCTCTGTATGAATGCTTCACCTTTTCCTCTGATCTTATGAAAGGCAACGGACCATAAAAGATACAATAAAGCAATACAGCACATCTGTGGACAAATACTGTCTTGGCAAAAGCCCTAGAACATCTTCTTAGAAAGGATATGTTTCATCCTTCCGCCCACTCGCTTTGGCTCCACCTAAACTTAAACCTTTAAAGCCTTTAAATGGCACAGCTCCCAAATATGATACACAGGGCAATGATATACCAGAATTTAATGCCACCTGGTCCTGTCACTGAGAAAAAGGCAGCTGAAAGGAAGTTCCGTTCCCATTCTGGGGGGCATGGCACGGAATAGCCTCCCCCCCTCCAACACTACTTTATGGAATACTGTCCCCACAAAGTATATGCAGCCTTCCCCTTCTCCGCAGTTCTCTATAAACAGATTAAATCTATTTTATTTCAAGATGCTTTTGGTTCCAAGTGATGGAGGGCGCCAATCTTGCAGTTGATCCTTGTTTTTCTTCGTTGTTGATGTACATTTGGATTTTTTTTACTGTGGGGCACAGCCAATAGGCCTTTGGGATTTCAGTCATGTAAAATAAATAGAAAAATATAGGCACCCGTCAAAAAATATAGGCACCTTCTGTTTAACATTTATGTGAAACCGCTGGGTGAGATCATCCATGGCTTTGGGGTGAAGTGTCAACTGTATGCCGATGACATGCAGTTGTACATTTCAACCCCAGGCCACCCCGATGATGCCCTTGACGTGATGTCCCACTGCCTGGAAGCCGTGTGGATCTGAATGGGGAGGATCAGGCTCAGACTCAACCCCTCCAAGACTGAGTGGCTGTGGTTCCCGACGGCCCGATATAGCCAGCTGACACCATTGCTGGCTATTGGGGATGAGATCTTACTCCCCTCAGAGAGGGCCTGGACCTTGAATTATCATATGATGGCCGTGGCCAGGGGGGCTTTTTATCAGGTTCGCCTGATCTCCCAGTTACATCCCTTTCTGGATCGGGACACCCTCGCACAGTCACTCATGCCCTCGTCACTTCCCGGCTGGACTATTGTAATGCTCTCTACCTGGGCTCCCCTTGAGGAGCACCCGGAGGCTCCAGCTGGTCCAGAATGCAGCCGCGCGAGTAATAATGGGGGCAACTCATCGCTCCCATGTAACACCCATCTTGTGCGAGCTGCACTGGCTCCCGGTGGTCTTCCAGGTGCGCTTCAAGGTGTTGGTTACCACCTTTAAAGCGCTCCATGGCTTAGGACCTGGTTACCTACAGGACCGCATTCTGCCACCGATTGCCTCCACCAACCAATACGTTCCCACAGAGAGGGCCTCTTCAGGGTGCCGTCAGCCAAACAGTGTAGGCTGGCAACCCCCAGGGGAAAAGCCTTCTCTGTGGGGGCCCCGGCCCTATGGTATGAACTGCCCCCAGACATACGAAGGATCCCCAACCTCCGTGCCTTCCGTCGCGCTCTGAAGACCCTATTATTCCAGCAAGCTGGTCTGACAGGATAAAGGTTTTTAAATTGGGTTTTGATAGGGGTTTTAAAATGATTTTAGTTGGATGTTTTAAATTTGACCGAATGATTGAACTATTTTAATAAGCTTTTAATTTTTGTTGTACATTGTTTTTACCATGGCTGTTCACTGCCCTGAGTCCCTCGGGAGAAGGGTGGTATATAAATATAATTAAACTAAAGTAAAATCCTTGCCTCGGTGTCTTAAAGGGGCTCATTTAGGTACCCTGAGCTGTTTAGGACTTTAAACAATACCTTAATTTGAGATAGGAAGGGAATAGACAGCCCACCTTTATTCATCAAAATTGGTGTAATGGAGGACTAGTGAAACATGCTTGAATTTATGCCCTGTTTTGAAACTTGCTGGCCTGGCAAAGAAGCAATGGAGCAGTTTGCCAGGATTATTTAATCTCTGCATTTTTGCCTCTCGCCAGTATTTATTGGTGGAAAGAAGTACACCTGGCCCATCAGAACGGTTGAGGAAGAGGAAGCTGGTAATGGCTGTTTAAGATTCTTTTGCGAAGCATTTGCTTCAACCTTAAATCAATTTTATTCCGCTTTACTTTGAGCAGCTTTCTTCTTGACTTGGGCCTCTCAGAATCTAGTCCCTCTGCAAAAATCTAGTAGGGGGACCACTATGTTGATATAATTCTTGATTCTTAAGAAATCAATATCATATAGCTAGGATTATAGTCTAAGACATTAATTATTTTCACATCTTAAAGCAATAAATTCCATTAAATATGCAATGTAATTTGGATTATTTGGATGCTGCTGCTCAGTTACACGGTGTGTCCATGTAAGCCTTTAAGATGTAAAACCATTCAATCATGACAGTATAGTAATACTTCATTCAACATAACAATCATAATCAGGTTCATAATAAGATCCTGTGTGTGTTTGTATATGCATTTTCTACACACACACACATACAACAACATTGTGCAAATAAACACTGGGTTTTTAATCACCAGAATAGTGCTATATATATATATATCTTGATATGTGGGGTTTTTGCCTTTATCTAAACTGGGCAGATACACAATACAATGTCGAATTCCAATTGCACAGCTGCAGAAGCATATTAAATGGTGTAATCAGATATTGGTTTAGTTTGTCTAATGTTCCTTTAAATTAAAAGGTTTAATAGTAACCACATTAGATTTCTATATTCTTATGGAAATAATTCTGGTTTCTAGTATATCTTCTCATGGATACATATGATCTTTCCACATTTATTCTAGTCTAGTGATATTTAGGTAATATCAATGCTATCACTAAAAATTTCAGATGGTTCAGATTTCAGCCAAAATACACTATTCAAAGTACATTTTTTGCTCTGATAACGTCAATTAAACTAAATGTATATGAACAAGAACAGGGGTCTGCAACCTTTAACACTCAAAGAGCCATTTGGATCCATTTCCCACAGAAAAGAAAACACCAGGAGCCACAAAACCCTTCCCATGCCTGACTATTTCTTGAGCGGCCACAAAACAAGCATATGTAGTTGAAATTAAATGTTCTGCTTTCTTCTGAAACTTTTCTTTTCTTGGATTTATCCATGATTGGCCTACCGGGGGTTGAAAAGCTCAATAAATCTCGTGCCGGCAGGTGTCGCACATTGGTGGTTGTGATGCATATTTTGAGTGACAGGGAGCCGCAGCAGAGGGGTGAAAGAGCCACATGCGGCTCCAGAGCTGCAGGTTGCTGACCCCTGGACTAGAATATATCAAGGTCATTCTCAAATATAAACCTGCCTAACTTTAAAATCTGCTTCAAGGTCCATATTCTTGATCTTTTTTCCTTTAAAATATTATGCAGAAGGAAAACCTGCCCCTCCATTTTTTGAAATATCTTCCTAAGATATATTTGTATAACCTCAAGAATTGCAGTCTTTTAAATTACAGGTTAAAATTGTTTTTATTTGTTTTGCTAAACTAGATATTTCTGGTTAAACTGTGTGCAGTGTGATTAGTAGTTTATAAGATAATAAATGAGGACTGGAAAATTTCAGATTCATACAGGCCTAAATATTAACTCTCAGCTCAGCTATCTTATAAATGATTGATGTGACAACAAATAAATTGGAGGAAGAAAAGTTATGTATACAGCTTTGAGCTCCTGAAGGTAAGATGGGATATAAATATAATGAATGCATAAATAAAATCAGTTAAGAAGATTGCAACAAAGAGGCCTAGGCAGAAACATATGGAAATTATTTTGTCCATGAGGAGAGCAGCATTGTTGCATTAATGCTCCCCATAAATACTCATGGTATTTAGGTGTGTACTGCCTCAGCCACAGTTATAATTTATAATCTTATAATCAGTAATAGCCCTCTTGACATAAGAAGTTAACAATCTCCTGGTTTCACTTATCCTGTTGCTATAGAAGCCAAGGCTTGAGTATTGCTGTGTACCACTGCCTAGAATGGAAGGACACAAAAGACTTAAAGCACAAAGTGAGTGAAGACCAAGGACTGTAGTAGAACTGGACACTGATACACCAGAATATCATTCGATACCTGAGCTGTTATTTCAGTTGAATGACCAGTCCAAAATCCTGGTTGATATGGTTTGGAAAAGCTATAGAATTTAAACCAGAAACAAATTGTGAGAGGGCAATTCTGTCAAAGATTTTAAATAAATAAATAAATAAATAAGAAGCAGAGAGACAGGCCAGTAATGGAAATAAAAAGAGATCTAAGGAGGATTTCCTTGACAAATTTGCCAGTACTTAATGTAGGACATAAGACAGGAAAAGAGTAAGAAAGAAAATAAAAAAGGAAAGGGATTAGTGAGGGATATACTGTATAGTGAGGCTCCTCCATAACACAAAGATGAATTCAAATGCAAAGGAAGTTGTAGAAGATAAGACAAATAAGGAAGGAGAGGTAGTGGAATGAAATGGAATGGAATGGAATTCTTTATTGGCCAAATGTGATTAGACACACAAGGAATTCGTCTCCCATGCATAAGCTCTCAGTGTACATGCAAAACAACAAAGTAATAATAATCATATGACCAGATGATGGTGATGATACTTATTCTCTATTGGTATCATTATTTTCTATAATAACGAATATTTTTCATTATTCCCTATTGGTATCTTTCTCTATTGGTATCATTATTATGATTCGCTCCTATAAATAGGAGAACAATAAACAGTGTTCAACCCTTT